TTGGTTATATGTTTTAAGGTTTATGTTGGCTTTTGTTTTATTTTTGTAGTATTGTTATTTTATTTCCGTTATTGTTGGTATTGTGTTAGTTTTTAGTGTTGTAGCGAAGTATTGTATTTTCGGTATTTTTGTCGTTGCTGTTGTTTGGGATGTGACGTGTAATGAATAATTCAATATTTAAGAAAATTAAAGCTCCTGTCCTGTCGTGGTGGTGTCCCTCTTGCGACACACACACACACACACACACGCGCGCCACACACACACACACACACACACACACACACACACACACACGCACATACACACACACACGCACACACACACACACACACACACACACACACACACACACACACACACACACACACACACACACACAACCATATTTTTCTTTATTACCTACACCGTTTTTTTAGGTTGACTCTTAGGAACTACAGCCCAGTTAACGGCGTAATAAAACTCATGACAATTTTCTATCTTGAATTTGATTGGCTATTAGAGGGGGCAGGGGTTGGCATACCGACCTTTTAGAGAGAGAGAGAGATACAGGGAGGTGCGTCTGTGTACATTAAGGACAGGTAGTGAGCAGGTAAGGGCAGGGATAATTATCAAAGGTAAGTGATACACAACACCTGACTGAAGGAGGGGTGTGGTAGGGGTAATTCTGCCACATATGGTAGTTCCGCGTGGTGGGGTTCTCCTGGTTGTGCACCAGCAGCAGGAGGCCGCCACCGCCCCTGCAAGGTCGTGGGGGCTACCAGGGTGGTGTGTCTCTACTCTGCCAGGTGTGGGGAAGAATGTTAGTCCAGAGATCCGGTTTGGCTCACCGTATACATGGAATAGAATCGACAATTACTTCTTCAGGCAATATGGCTTGTTAACTTGTGTCTGGTGAGGGATGATGTTTGTAGGATAAAATCTTAGCTATCACCTGAAGATTAACCACCCAAGTTTATTTTACCTTAGAATTAAACACCCTAATGTTAACCTATCATAACATTAACCAAAGGTAACCTAACCTAACGTACCATCCCCCGCCCCCAGGTAGGGTTAGGACCGTTAGGTGTTTGATCATCAGATGAAGTAAACTGATATTTTTCTCTCTCTCTCTCTCTCTCTCTCTAAACACACACACACACACGCACACACACACACTAGCTCATGACTCCGTAAAATATATAAATAAGTAATAAATTAATAGTTACTGTATATATAGGACAATCATTATACAATATATCCCTAACCTTTACAATGATCCGCCTCATTATATATTTATACGCATCGATTGGACGCTTATCCTCCTTAATCATTATCGACCAATCAGACAGACAAATGATTAGCTTGGGCACCTCTATTAACCTCTTGATTGGACGAGCCTTGATTGTATCTAGCCTAATCACCAGTTAATGTATCATACTGAATTTCAAATAGGCTTCTTAATGACCTAATCTACCTGTGTTTACCTGTTGTAATTAACGTTTGGGGGTTGGTATTTAGTGATGTTTGCTGTAAAATTGTATGTGTTCGGATATAATGTTATGACGTTCTTGAAATGCGAGGATTCGGACAAGTTCTCGCCTTTCGATTTGCCATCTTTTTCCTTCCCTTTTCTTTCTTCCCTTTCCTTCTCTGTCCCTTCTTGCCTTTCCTCACCTCTCCCTCCTCCTCATTCATTGCCGCTTCCCACCTCTCTTTCTTCCTCCCGTCCTTCCTTCCTTTTCTTCCTCCCTCCCTTATCTTCCTTCCTTCCTTTTCTTCCTCCCTCCCCTTTCTCCCTTCCTTCCTTTTCTTCGTCCCTTCCTTCCTTCCTCGCCGTTAGAGTTACCTCATTTAGGGAAGGACTGCGGGAGAGATTTTTTCCCGTGTTATGGAGACAATTGTTGTGCGTGACGCTGTGTTATCTGTGGGTATGAAGGTCAACCCCCCTCCTGTGCCACCTCCTGCAACACCTCCCTCGCCTCCTTCTACCGTACCTCCTTCCTTGCCTTCTTCGTTTTCTCCTTCTCCTCCTCCTCTTGCCACTTCCGCCTCACCTTCTTTCGTTTTCTACTTCTTTTCCTCATCATCCTGCTCTTTCCATTTCTTGTTCTTGGGGGTCCTTCTCTCTCTTTGTGTTCGTCAACCTTCTTCCTTTGTGTCTGTTTTTACTCCCTCGGTTGCCAGGGACGGAGGGCTGTTGTCTGAGTCCTTCCTTCCGTTCGTTCTTCCGTCTCGTAGATATTAGTGTAAAGAACGTATTCAGTAATTATTCAGTTATAAGTTGATGTAAATTTCGGGTACAAGTTGAACAATAGGGTGGGATCATTATTAAAAGGTAGGTGTGTGTGTTTGCATGTATGTGATATAATGATCAGCATGCTCTCCTCGCAAGCGAGCGGACCTGGGTTCGATCCCCGGGCAGGGTGAAACTACTATGGGCAAGTTTCTTTACGCCATTTGTCTCTGTCTACCCAGCAGTAATTGGGAACCTGGATGTTAATCGATTTATGGATCGTGTTCCGGGGCAATGGTTGCAGTGCAGTTGGCGAGTTGTCCGGTCTTCTTGGACTATTCCTTGACACTGGGTTAAGCAACTCGTTAGCTTAAGATGTGGTTGTTGTGTTGGCGACAGCTTTTACACCTTAAACAAATTCACGCCTAGGTGGCCCATGGGCCGGCCATCCTCGTTACACGAGGGGCCACCATTATTATGTTTGTAGGTGTTGAGATTTTTCCTCGTGACACTTCCTTTCCCCTCTAATGAAAACAATGTGTGTGTGAGAGAAAGAGATGACGCCGTCTGTCTGTCGACGTGGTTGTTATGGTGAGTCATAACACTACGACAAACTTACAAAAATTCATGTCCAGTTTAATGGATTTAGTTCATAGACCCAGGTGAACTCTAGAGCAAGGTAAGATAATTAGTCTTCACAACTTTAATATACGTTGATAGTGTGTCGGGGGTTCTGGGTTCATACCTGCCCCGCGAGGTATTTTAATAAGCGAATAATTACATCACAAAGTAGTGGAAAGCTCGTCCATAACCGCACTGTGATTATAAAGGACCGCACTCATGTTAAAGATGACCGCAGCGTGTTTGAGGTAGTTCCCCCTGGTAATCTTCCCACCTTGTACCGACACAGAGAACGGTGGACTCAGCGCTGACTCGCCTATTTTTGCTCGTCCCACCCTCTGTGGTGTTGCTAATGCGTGTGGTTTGTGGTAACCGAGTTGTTTATGTTAATGATAGTAAAAGGTTACCTTGAATTGATTTATGAGGACGAATGAAAAGGCAAAAACGCATAAATATTTGAAGGAATTTCTGTAGATAAAAGAGAATATGCAGAAGTGATTTTGTTGTTTGTTTACGCGAATGAAGACCACACAACAAGCCTGTTTTTGTTTCCTGAATCTCGTTATGAACTTCACTTGATAGACATTTTATAATATATAATCAAGTAGTTTCATGTTTTAAGATCTGCAAGGTAATTGATTTTTTATTATTATTCCCATACCCACCAAGAAGCTGACTCACCCCTCACCATTGGACCGCCTCATGTGAAAGTATAAATGGAAGAAAAAAAACACAGCGATCATGAAAGTTTTGAGTTACTTTACATTAGCAGTGAACATCTGGCGGCGCGGCAGTCAGGTTCCGTAGTTTATTGACGTTAGTGGTTTATAGAGAGAGTCTTGAGTGATCTTGTTAGAGGCTCCTGTCACCACCACCTTCCTACTCCCGACGCAGACGTACCTTTGTTTATACTGTGGTGGAGGAGAGTCGGGGGACCTTCAGGAATTGTTTGTATTTTAAACTTGAAAAATATACCAGGCCTTCCCGTTGACTGACATTATATATTATATTTGACTCTTGGTTAATGATTGAAGAGAAGAGAACAATAAATGAAACTTATTATTAAACGATGTTGATGTCGTGGCCCAAATAATAAACAATACCAACATGAATTATATTTATATGAGCGAATAATTCAAACAAATATATGTGGTTTATTGTGATTTATTTTTTTACTGTCGGTGAAAAATAAATAACGCAGATTATATTAGAAAAAGAGATGGAAAATGTATTGGGTCCCAGAATACGAGAGCTTACGGTATCTGTCATCGTAAATTCTGAATGAAGCGGAAGAGCGATTTTTGCTTTCACATATACTGAATGTTCACTTGACATTTTACATGATTTGTTTTCATCCGGGAGGTTAGAAGGGAGATATAATTTTTTTCTTTGATCGTACTGTACCTTTTGTGTAAAGTTTGTCAGTAATATTCCTAGTTAAACACGGTAGGCAAGACTCGTGTTCGACATGTCCAGTATTATGTATATCGCTTAGCTTAATACGAGTCAGTAGGATTCGTATCGTTTTGCAACACCTCTATTTATTTATGTATTCATTTATTTATTAACCTCCGTGTTTGCTAGTGATTAAAACATGGAAAAAAAATCCAGTCGACCAAAATTATGGGACGAATCTGTCATCCTCATTCCAGTTGCGTTACGCCATTACCATCAAACACCCTTTCTTCATTTTCAGAATATTTCGTCGTGAAAATAAAGGAGTTCTTTATTTATTTTATTTATTTATTAAGTTAGTCTGGTAATTTGTTTTTTTTATATGAATCACTGTATTATATTCCAAAGTTGTGAGTAATGGTTGTGTTGTATGTAGAAGTATTTATCAGCATGGTGTATATAATTGTATGTTAGAGGGAAGCTCGGCACACAGTCTTTATTGACGTGTGTGTGTGGGGAGAAAAACTGATCACATACATAAATGCAGTTGTAGGAGTTGACGAGGTTGATAATGGAGATTTAGGACACTTAACACAATGAAGTTGTATAAACAGAGACAACTTGACGCCTGTATATTTGTACAGTAACTAAGCTTCGTATGAGTCTGCTTGTAGAGAAGTAAAGATGACACACAGTAGAGTAGTGCAGTAGAGCAAGCCATGCTGGCGGTAGTTAGCGTTGTAGTGCTAATGTAGACTTGTTTGTGTTGCAGCTCCTCCCGGACATCGTCGTCGACCCGGGGCCTGCTGGACGGGGCCCTCGCCTCATCAGACACCCTCATCACCCACCAGATTGACCCGCCTAGACCGCCCTCTCTGCCCCCACCCGCCCTCGATGATCCCCCACCACGCCCACCAGAGCGCCCGCCCAAGAAGCCAACTTTGCGGTCACTGTTCCATGGACCCAACCCGGAGGCGGCGGCGGCGTCCAGCCCGGGGGGGCCTGGTGCTGGCGCCCTCCTTAACTCCCCCCAGATTGAAAAGATCAACAGTCCAGACTCTGAGATGCGGCGGATAGAGGAGTCTGCTAATGAGTTAAGGAACATGTCTCCAGCGAGACCTTATTACTACCGCAAGCCGCCAGCGCCAGATCCACCCAAGTCACCGGAAGCAACGCCCGCAAATTCTGCTGTGGCAGCCGCCACCACGCCCGGTTCTCCCAGGCCCCCTCGATCCCCTCATCCCGCCCGCCTCCACACGTCGCCCACCCACGCCCGCCACCTGGCGCCACCCATCAGCCCAACGTCTCGCTCGTCCACTCCTGACCTGCCACCTCCTCCACCTCCTCCAGTCACTGACGGGGAGGTCGTGGTGTGTGACGAGCCCTTACCACCTCCACCCACGCCCTCCGAGGTGGCTCCTCCGCCCACAGACGTGCCACCCTTGCCCCCAGACTCCCCACCCAGGGAGCGTCTGATGGGCACTCCCCTCAGCGCCCCGGGACGCCCTCAAGACACTCAGCACCCCACAGTAAGTGTCTCTTCACATTTCAGTTGCATATAGATTTGCTTCCTTATTGTAGAGTGTTGTAGGGGTTGTAATCTTCTCAGGCGTCTTCTGCTGCGTCTTCTCCACGGCGTCAATGACTCCGGTGAAACTCGGACTCAAAGAAGAGTTTATTTAGACACATCAGTGGAAGTACAGGTTTAGACCTAGGGTACAGGCGCGGTTATAGTATCATGAACCCGGTGCCTTAACATATGGCATAACACAAGTGCACCCAGCTACCTAAACCACCTTGACGTCAGTAAGTTAAATTGTATATACAGTACAGACGCCACGGAGGGAGATCTTACAGTACCTTGAGAGTATCACACACACACACACACACACACACACACACACACACACACACTTTGGTTTCTTGTATGGAACTGTCTCCTGGTGGCTCCCGTTTTGCTAGACTTAGTTATACACGTCTCTAAAATAAATAAATATTGGTCACCTTGTTATTATCGATGAGTGGCGTTGCAAGAGCCCGTGGGAAACATTGACTGATAAACGATGGTGAAGAGAGTGGTTAGTGGTGGCCAGTAGTGTGGTCAGTGTGGTAACTGCCAATGTGAAGGTTGTTGTGGGAAGATCACCGTAAGTTTCTCCTGCCAGTGAAAGCTGGTGAAAAATTTTCTCCGGGTATCGAGTGCTCTAAACCAACAATACAGGTTTTATATACAGTAAATAATATAAACACCGACCTTGAATTTATATAGAATGTCTATAGATTATTGTATTCTGCCATTAAGTTTTAAACGTGGTCTTATTTGTGATGTATTTTAAACTATCTTGGATTTTGGTGGCAAGTGGTGGTCTTCTTCCGTCCTTAGCAACAGTTATAGTCCATGGGAAGTAATTGGTTGCTGGTTGTTGAGTATCAGGTCAATAAACAGCAAGTGCAGGTAAAGCATAACATTAACTTAAATCGACAGACGTGGGAGGAATGTAAACAACAAGTATTGATATTGGTGTGGTTTGATGATGAGGTGTAGTATGGTGATGGTGAGGTGTAGTATGGTGATGGTGTGGCTTGTGATGTGGTATAGTGTGGAAGACAAAGACACTGTATAGTGTTAGTCGTAAGGAGGGGCGGAGAGGACACACACACACACACACACACACACACACACACACACACACTCTTAAGAACACTACTTGACCTGAGAACACACTTATGACCCATGTTTACCATAATACACATATTAGACACGACAAACACACTCTTCAAGGTAGGGAACACGAACAACACCTGCCTGAACACCTGCCTGAACACACTAACGAGGTCCTCAGAGTAACCAGCTCACCGTAAACTCACGTCGTCTTTACCCTCTACGATCACGTTATTATAGAGGAAATATATCCCAGGCAGCCGTGCATACATCGTTAGCAGAGCGTGGCAGGGGTGTGGTGGTGGTGGTGGTCAGGGGGATAGCTGGGTGGTGATGGTGTGGTGATGTATGGTGTAGTGTGGTGATGGCTTGGTGTGTGTGGAGTGGTATAGTTTGTGGTGTGGTTTGATGATGATGTGTAGTATGGTGAGGTTTGTGGTGTGGTATAGTGTGGTAGATTACTGTAGGTGATGAAGAAGATAGCAAGTTACTAGGGTACTGTACTGTATATACCACCCACCTTAACTCACCTCCCATTGTCCTGTTCCACCCTCCCCCTCCCCCCTTTCTCCTCTCCTGCATCTACGACCCGCTACTCCTCTCTCACTCTCTCCCTTTCTCCCCTTCCACATCTTATTATTCTCAAGATTTTTCTTCTCCCTTCCTCCCACCTCCTCTTCTTCCACACCACTCCCACGATCCTCCCCTCCCTCACTGCTTCCACACCTCCCCGCCCTCCCCCACCCACAATCCTTACTCTCCTTGCTCATCTTGTCCCCTCCCCCCATGCCCCCCCCGCTTCTCGCAGCGTCACACATCCTAAGGACATTATCAAAGATGCCGCCCTGGTGAAGCAATTCCCAGGACGTCTAATTTTTTCGCGATTCTTACGTACTTAATCTGTGATCACCTGAAGATTAGCCCCTCCGGCTTATTCCACTTGATGATTAGCCACCCAAAAGCTACCTGAGGGAGTTAGTGTAGGTTAGTTTGGGTTAGCGTTAAGCTAGTTAATCTCAAGGTTTAAAAAAGTTGGAAGGCTAATCTTCAGGTGGTTATTTTTGTCTTTAAACCACTTTTCTGTCTTGCCTGTGTAGATATTTTTATAATCGACTCGGTAATAATTGACTCATGACTTATATAAACGTGCTTTTAAGAGATTGTCATTGTTCACACGAGAGCAGTCTACCACAATGTGAGTTAATAGATCTAATTAAGTCGTACCGCGTCAGGTGTTGTAGCCGTGTGTCACCTTCAGGAGTCTCACAGGTGTCGGGGCCTCTGGGTTACCTGGTGAGGTTGGTCTTCATCTACGAGCACCACCTTCTGGCCCACACACACACAGGGTTGACGTTGGTCTGAACTGTTGGGTATGTGACATAAGTTGTTAAATTTTTGGTTTGGTTTTGTAGGAAGTTGTCTGCTGTTGTTGTGATGGTGGAGAGGTTGTATCTAGCGTGAGTGTTGTGTTGTGATGTGGGGAGGTGTGTGATGCTGGACGTGTGGTGTACAAGGGAAAGTGTGTTTCTTCTTAACAGGTGTCTTAAACGGGAGGTGTTTGTTTGTAAAGAATGTGTCCAATATACTGTATGTTTTTTCAACGTGTGTGTGTGTGTTTGTGTGCGAGCGTCGGTGTGTGTATGTACAAGTGGTGTGTCATATATGTGTGTGTGCAGTGTAAAACAAAGGAACATCAAAGTCCTTGGTTCTTCCATTACCTGCGCTAGCGAAGGTCCTAGCTGGCTGCCCTGACGCACCCCGCCATCACCACCCATTGTCAGGAGGTACTCTTGCTCCATTACCAATTTAGTACGCCCAAGTAACGCATTGTATACTGTGGGGAAGCGATGCACTCTCATTATGCCCTCGACTTAGGTGGAAAGTTGTACCAAGTGTTCATTATGCTCTCGACTTGTATAGAAAGTTGTACCAAACGTGCAGTATGCTGTCGACTTTCGTAATCAGTCATTCAGGTTTGGTATAATACTGAAGAACACTCACTATACCGTTTCTGGAGTCTGTTGGGGCACTAGACCGCTTCAGTGATAAAGACTGGAGTGTAGGATTGGTTGTCGGTAACACTCCGGGATATACACTTATGTTGGTCTTAAATGCGGGAAAGGAGACTCAGCTGGAACGTGTGATTTATTGATTAAGTAAATGACTTCTGTTCCATGGTGGCCGACTGTAGTAAGGCAGCAGATGGCTCTCCTCTCAGTAAGATTAACATTGTCGACTTTCTTAATGGGAGAAACCATGTGTGTGATAGACCAAGTAGACGTGTGTGACATATGTACAGTAGGGGGGGGGGAGTGTGTCAGGAGTTACCCCATCCTCCTACCCACCTACACTAATGGCCAGGCCCCTAAGAGAACTCCTACTCCCTTCCACTCCTACTCAGGCCAGCACACCTCCTCCCCTCACCGATTTCTCGTTCAGAACTGTCCATTATAAACTTATATTTGTTTTTATTAAGGAATGTTAGATAATGTCAAGCAGTGAATGTTTTGTTTATATTATTAGTGAGGTACTTGAAGCGGTGAAGGTTGAGGTCGTGTTTAAGACCTTCTCCTGAGTGTACCTGAGGGAGAGGAGTACAGGTAGCTATCACTGTAATAAATATCTGTCTGCTGAGGTAAACTGTGGCTGTAAGATTATTTTAGCGGTTTCATATAACACGAAGTCATGAAATCAACTTAAATTTTAACAGACTGACCCAACGTTGCGGTTTGTATAATAATGTTAGTGAAGAGAGAAAATATAGTGTGATAAGATTAACTGTGTATAGACAAGTGTGTAGAATTTGTTAAGTAAAATGGTGGTGGTAGCGGTGAGAGACATGAAGGCGGGAAATATATGTTGGGATTAACTGTCAAAGAATATCATGTGGTGCTTAAAAATAATTCCGAAAATTTGACCGACAAAATCCCCCTCCCCCCCCCAAAAAAAAACCCCCCACGAATACGGAAGTGTTTCTTGTGTAAAACTATCTTTCTTGGGAGACACATTAATACGAAACAAGCTGAGAGTAACGGTTAAGGAAGAAACGCTCACTTCTTGGAATTATTGCTGTTAAAACGTGAAATAGGAAGACAGGAAGCACACACCACAGATCACCGTGAGCGTAGCGGCGGAGAGGGCAGCAGGCGTCACTGATCAAGCATACACAAGACGGTACCGAGGAAAGTTATACACTGGAGGGTTATGTCCTGAGCGGTGATAATGAGATCATTACATCCACACTCTCATTTTTTCTCTCTTTTCTTTATGGTGGTGAAGCGCCTGCGTGTGACCACTTCCTCCTTCAAGGCAGCGCCCCGTGGTTCCTCCTTGGGGAGTCGTGAGCCGTGGCTGGGGTACTGTGCGTGGCTCCCGGTTCTGCGATATACACATGGATAACCGGTAATTTTTTTTTATGGCGTGCTAGTAATACTAGAGTTCTCGTCTGACTATTGGCCACACTTGAAGCCTTGGCCACACTTAAAGCCTTGGCCACACTTGAAGCCATACATCTAAATATTTATACACTCTCTCATAACTAACTCCGATACGATGATTCATAAAAAATAAAAGATGAGCAATAATCACCTCACTGACCGCTGTTATCCCTCACTTGAAAGAACATCCCTCACGTACAGCAGAAAAAAAAGACGCCATCAGTTAAGTCAGGGAAGACGGATCGTGGGTTATTATACTACAGCAGTCATTGAGAGAGAGAGAGAGAGAGAGAGAGAGAGAGAGAGAGAGAGACCAAATTTAACAGTATGACCGCCGCAAATTTCACCAATATAACAGCGCACAATAGAGTTACAGATACAATAGCCTGACACAGATACTGAAAAAAAAGGTGATATATATATTGACACG